AGATAAGTAAAGATGAGCGAAGGAGTAGTATCCAATGTCTCAATCGAACTGACTCGCTCATACTTTTAAACAATGTTTTCGTCTTTGAACAAAACACCCCTCTTAAATTAAGGTAAATAAAGGAAAAATTATGTTTCACTTGACTTGTGACGGAAGGGCATATGTCACCTGTATCTGCACTTGGTCTTACTACTATGTTCTCTTCTGTAAGTTTGCATCTCAAGAAATTGGGTATTTCCACACCCTGGACCCCACTACTGCTCATTGATAAGGCAAGTTATTCCGATTTAAATTTTGAAATTAAATATATCTCATGTTTGATTATAGGTATTTGTTAAAATCGATATATGTTATAGTCATGATTTTAATAAAAAAAATTATAATCATGAAATTAAATATTCCGATCTTAAATCAACCAAACCGCTACGAGTAGTTTGGTTTTGCCTGTTAAATCAACCACGTGAGTGCTTACGTTACGTCTCTACTTCCAACTTGAATAACAAGTTAGTCTTATATGCAACTTCAACGAAAGTCACTAATAATTCCACGTATATATAAAGTGACACTCATGCAATTAGAACTCAAAATAACCATACTTTCCATTTCTTTGTTTCATTCAAGCATTTTCACAAATGGGTCAGCTACATTTTTTCTTCTTTCCCATGATGGCTCAAGGCCACATGATACCTACACTTGACATGGCCAAGCTTGTTGCTTCTCGTGGTGTTAAGGCTACTATAATCACAACACCTCTCAATGAATCTGTTTTCTCTAAAGCTATTGAGAGAAACAAGCATTTGGGTATCGAAATCGATATCCGCTTGCTAAAATTCCCAGCTAAGGAGAATGATTTGCCTGAAGATTGTGAGCGTCTTGATCTTATCCCTTCTGATGACAAACTCCCAAACTTTTTAAAAGCTGCAGCTATGATGAAAGATGAATTTGAGCAGCTTATTGATGAATGTCGCCCAAATTGTCTTGTTTCTGATATGTTCCTTCCTTGGACAACTGATAGTGCAGCCAAATTTGACATTCCGAGAATTGTTTTCCATGGCACTAGTTACTTTGCCCTTTGTGTTGTTGATAGCATCAGGCGTAATAAGCCTTTCAAGAATGTGACATCTGATACTGAAACTTTTGTTGTACCGGATTTGCCTCATGAAATTAAGCTCACTAGAACACAATTGTCACCGTTTGAGCAATCGGATGAAGAGACGGGTATGACTCCCATGATTAAAGCTGTTAGGGAATCGGATGCAAAGAGTTATGGAGTTATCTTCAATAGCTTTTGTGAGCTTGAATCAGATTATGTTGAACATTACACTAAGGTTGTGGGTAGAAAAAACTGGGCTATTGGCCCGCTTTCGTTGTGTAACAGGGACATTGAAGATAAAGCTGAAAGAGGGAGGAAATCATCTATCGATGAACACGAGTGCTTGAAATGGCTTGATTCGAAGAAATCAAGTTCCATTGTTTACGTTTGTTTTGGAAGTACAGCAGATTTCACTACAGCACAGATGCAAGAACTTGCTATGGGACTAGAAGCTTCTGGACAGGATTTCATTTGGGTTATTAGAACAGGCAATGAAGATTGGCTGCCTGAAGGATTCGAGGAAAGAACAAAAGAAAACGGTTTAATCATAAGAGGATGGGCACCCCAAGTGTTGATTCTTGATCACGAAGCTATTGGAGCTTTCGTTACTCATTGCGGATGGAATTCGACACTGGAAGGAATATCAGCAGGGGTGCCAATGGTGACATGGCCAGTATTTGCGGAGCAATTTTGCAATGAGAAGTTGGTGACTGAGGTAATGAGAACTGGAGCTGGCGTTGGTTCGATGCAATGGAAAAGAACAGCTAGTGAAGGAGTGAAAAGGGAAGCAATAGCAAAGGCGATAAAGAGAGTAATGGCGAGTGAAGAAGCAGAAGGATTCAGAAGCAGAGCAAAAGAGTATAAGGAAATGGCAAGAGAAGCTATTGAAGAAGGAGGATCATCTTACAATGGATGGGCTACTTTGCTACAAGATATAAGTTCATATACTTCCACAGCTCATTAAGTAGTGATTCAAAAAAAAACATGTATGTTTCTATGTTATGTGTGTGTACGTTTTCTGTTTTGCTGATTTGATCATTACCTTTTGTCACTTCTTCTAATAAATTAATGACTTCAAAAAGAATATTTCAACCCAATATCACTCATCTCGATTATCAACATAAAACTTTCGTCACACGTCATATTATTCACAAACACGAAGATGATGTATGTACTATGGTAGTAAAACAAACTACTCCGTATATTGCAACTTTTAATGTGACGAAAAGAGACTCTTCTTGACTAATTGCTCCAAAATCGTGTAGTTAAACATCTCCACGATAAATTGAAATTTGAAATTTGGACACGTGAATAATACATAGATGGAAATCAGTATTTTCAAAAACATTTTTGGGGTGAGTTTTGGAGTGGGGCGTACCAAAAATGCTCCGGGGCGTAAATAAAGATGTAGATCCATAAGGTGTAAGTCCTAAAATTTGAGGCGTATGCCCCGAGCATAAAAACGTAAGTCCTGACGTAAAAACGTATGCCGGGCGTTTTTAATTTATTTTTTAACCTTTTTTGCTTTACATCATATTTTTATTTTTATTATTGGTGTATTGATATTTCTCAAATAGTAATTATAATATTTTTTTTCTTCATTATTGATTATTAATACTTATCTCAAATAAAAATCATAAATCATTGAAAGCTTTACTTTTGCTTATTTTATTTGTAATAAAAAAAAAAATTGAACATACATGAGACTATGCCTCGTAGATCCATGAATAAGTCTCCCCATATCTCAGGGCTTACACCTCACCTCACGCCCCGCCTTTTAAGACACTGGATGGAATAATCACTACTAATCAGTCTCCGCAATTGTTGAATACTTCCATAAGGCCAAAGACTTTTGTGAATGCTGCAAAATTATGAGACGCCAGATCTCAAGTTTAGGTGGGTTGTTCATTTAAGTTGTAATTATTCGCCCGACTGTTTTGACTATTGTTTTCCAAAATAAATAAGTCCTAGTCCGTTTTCAGCATTGATGTTAGAATTTACCATTTCTCAATTACAATGGTATAGCTAATTAAAAACTTATTACATAAAACAACAACAGAAAGAAGGTGAGTCTACTACATATACCTATTGCTTTCTTGGTACTATCATGTGATTTATAAACTTTAAATCAATCACAAACACCGTCAGCTCATTATTGAGACCTGGTTCTTCTGTCGATATTTGTCAATCATCACAGCACTAATCCCGAGTTGGTGGAGGTTGTAGTCCGATCGCTGATTCAGGATTCTTGATCATCAAACTGCTGGATCATGAATGAACTCAAAGATAAGAAGACAATTGTACAGTCGATTTGCAACAGTAACTTGGCTCAGCCCAATTTTTTAATGAGAAATATGGTGAAGTTAGGTGGTGGGAATGAGTCGATGAACAATGTAGCTCAAGAGTGGCCGACAATTTGAAGCTATATTATGTTTTTTAGTATATTCTCACTTCGACCTTACTAAACAAAGCACCGAATTCTGGAGAAGTAATGCATTAATCTTCTACTTCCATGATTTGTTCATCTTGTATTCCTAAGATACTTGGAACAAAAACTTTGAAGAACTTGATAAGAAACAACAAGTTTAAAGAGCATTTTCAAAACTAGAAAATTAAAACTAGTAGAGAAAATAAAATTAGAAACAGATTATAAATAATATACGAAATATTTTTCTTAAAGAAGAAAATCGAGCTCACTGAATGCACAGTGTCTCCTTAAGGAAATTATTCCCCTCAAGTACCCGAGGTTAATGAAATATATCCTCCCAAGATAGAACGATCTTACTCACCGGTGTATTGGTACCTAAAACCACAGTGTCAGTGAACCACTCAACGGCAGTAAAGTACACTTAGAATACTAGATTTAGTAGTAGTAGAAGAAGTCTAGAAAAATTAGTTTAACTAAAATGAGAGGAAATCCCTCAATTTATAGAATACAAAGGGTAGTGTGAAAATGTTCTTATTGTGCGTTACCAGAAAGGTCACAATCTTTCGGAAATGTCACAACTTTTCATAAAAGTCACAATTTTTCATAAAAGTCGCAACTCTTCATAAAAGTTCCAATTTTTCATAAAAGTCACAATTTTTCATAAAAATTGCAACTCTTCATTTTCCATTCACACCTTTTAAAACCCAACAAATGCATCATAAAATAATTCTATATTTTAATCCAGAATATTATCTCTCATACCAAATGACCCTTAGAGGTTTATTTACGCCGCCATAAAGTAGAAAGCATACAGTAGCCAGAATGGTCATTTTTGGATACTTAGATCCAGAAAACGGTAAGCAACAGAAACTAACAAGAGAGTTGGATCGATGTGAGTGTTCTTCATGACAATATTTTCTACTTAGAATCTACTTTGTCGCATTTGATCAACAGTCGTCTCCGATCGTATTTTAATTAAGAACTTGATTCTTTCACCATGTGCATAAAACTTGTGCAACTCAATTCCTCCAATAGACATGCAAAGGAACTTGTTCTTCTATAGTTGTTTGTCAATCATAAACATTGTCAGCTCATTATTGAGACCTGATAAAGACCTGGTTCTTCTGTAAATCATCACAGCACTAATCCCAAGTCGTCAGGATTCTTGATCAGCAAACTGCTGGATTTGCACCAGTAACTTGGCTCAGCGCAAATTTTTAATGAGAAATATTGTGAAGTTAGGTGGTGGGAATGAGTCGATGAACAATGTAGCTCAAGAGTGGCAGACAATTTGAAATCATGTAGGGCAAAAATTCAATGAACATTACAAAGTGGATTAATAGTAAAGGCAATAATTTTTCTTAACAGTTTCCCTGTTTCGAACAAAAAAGTCTATAATATATGATGCATTGGTAATTCTTGCAATCCTTCAATTACAACTGAATAAGCTCATTCCCAAATAAACAGAAAATTGAAGGTATGAGTCGACTTCATTTTTTCTTCTTTCCCCTGATGGCTCAAGGCCACATGATTCCTACACTTGACATGGCTACGCTCGTCGCTTCACGCGGTGTTAAGGCCACTATAATCACTACCCCTCTCAATGAATCGGTTTTCTCAGATTCTATCGAAAGAAACAAGCATTTGGGTATCGAAATTGACATCCGTTTGATAACATTTCAAGCTGTGGAGAATGATTTGCCTGAAGGATGTGAACGTCTCGATCTCGTTCCTTCCCCTGAATTGTTTAAAAACTTCTTCAAAGCTACAGCTATGATGCAAGAACCATTTGAGAATCTTGTTAAAGAGTGTCATCCCGATTGTATTGTTTCAGATATGTTATTCCCTTGGAGTACTGATTCTGCTGCCAAATTCAACATTCCAAGAATTGTTTTCCATGGCACAGGTTTCTTTGCTCTTTGTGTTGCGGAAAGCATCAAACGTAATAAGCCTTTCAAGAATGTGTCATCTGATTCTGAAACTTTTGCTGTACCGAATTTGCCTCATCAAATCAGGCTGACCACAACACAATTGTCTCCGTTTGATCTAGAAGAGGAAGAGGCAATTATATTCCAGATATTTCATGAAGTCAGGGAGGCGTACTTGAAAAGCTATGGAGTTATCTTCAACAGTTTCTACGAACTTGAACCAGATTATTTTGAACATTATACCAAAGTTCAAGATAATAAATCATGGGCTATTGGGCCGCTTTCGCTGTGCAACAGGGACATTGAAGATAAAACAGAAAGAGGGAAGAAATCCTCTATCGATAAACACGAGTGCTTGAAATGGCTTGATTCGAAGAAATCAAGTTCTATTGTTTACATCTGTTTTGGAAGCGGAGTAAAATTCACTGGATCACAAATTCAAGAACTTGCAATGGGAATTGAAGATTCTGGACAAGAATTCATTTGGGTTATCAGAGAAAGAAAATTCAAACAAGAAAATGAAGACTCGTGTCTACCTGAAGGATTCGAGAAAAGAACGAAAGAAAAAGGAATAATCATAAGAGGATGGGCACCCCAAGTGTTGATTCTTGATCACGAAGGTGTAGGAGCATTCATGACTCATTGTGGATGGAATTCGACCCTGGAAGGAATATCAGCAGGGGTGCCATTGGTGACATGGCCTCTGTTTGCTGAACAATTTTTGAATGAGAAGTTGGTGACTGATGTTTTGAAAATTGGGGTTGGGGTTGGTTCAGTAAAATGGGAGTTAGTAGCAAGTGAAGGAGTGAAAAGAGAAGAAATAAGCAAAGCAATAAAGAGAGTAATGGTGAGTGAAGAAGCAGAGGGATTCAAAAACAGAGCAAAAGAGTATAAGGAAATGGCAAAACAAGCTATTAAAGAAGGAGGATCATCTTACAATGGATTGACTAACTTGCTGCAAGATGTAAGTATGTATGGTACTAAAATTGATTAGATATATTTAAATTTGAGTCTGATTTCTAGTACTCGATTCACATGGAAATGTCCTTTTATTTTTGTTATGTTTTATTTAAAAACATGTACTTTTTCGTTTTCATTTAAATAATAATAATGACATCGTATGTGGATGAATCATTAAGGTAAATAATATCATTGTTTAGTCAACATGATATAGAATCATCAAAATTGACGAGACAGAGTTACTCTGAATGGTAAGCATTTCTCACTTTGTATTCTTCAACAATCATCAAAATTGACGAGATGGAGTTACTCTGAATAGTAAGTATTTCTCACTTTGTCTTCTTCATCAATCATCAAAATTAACAAGACAGAGTTACTCTGAATCGTCATTGTATACTTCATGTATAGTTAGTGTATATTTCATGTATAGTTAAGCTACATTATGTTTTTTAGTGTATCATAATATATAGTCAGTGTATAGTTAATGTATATGTAAGCTATATCGTATAGTCATTGTATACTTTCAATGAATTTGGCAAACTATATCATATAGTCGGTTTATATTTACTATGATTTTTGGCTATATTTATGTAAATAAAATATGATTATATTTATTGTAGACTAATTACTTAATTGTATATATTTGAAAATAATCCCAATTATTTTAGGCGAACAACCCAATGAGTTAAAGCCCATCCATTTTCCTGCTATTTCGCTTCCGCGTAAGCCCAAAACATATTTTCTCATTTTTGGGCCGAAGTAGCTGTGGGCCTGTAGCCTTTGGGCTGCATCAATGAATGATCCATTAGCTTCAAACTTTTAAAGTTTTTACTTTCACTATTTTTTAGCTTAATTCCACCGATTTTCTTGTCTAATCAGATAGAGAGTGATTAACTTTCTAAAGTAAAATTTTTAAAAACTTGTTTGTAAATAGTATAGTGATCAGTCATTTTATTAGATTTTGGATAACTATAATACATTTTGAGAATCTTAGTGAAAATATATATTTGGCCCTTGGAAATTAAAGTAGAAGTAGACTAAAATGATTGGAAATAAATAGTTAAATTAATTTAATTTAAAGATTTGAGTTAAATATATTAGTAGGGATATCACGCTCAACACATGCAACGTCAAATCAAAGTAGTAGACTTTACTTAAAATAATAAAACTATGTCAATAAATAAAATAATCGAAAGATCAAAATAACTCAAAGTCAAATATATTTTTTTTCTTTACAAAAATAAATTGATGTCATTAAATTCACATTAAAAATGTTAGATTAAAATTTTCTCCAACTTGGCAATTTAAATATGTGTCCTAAACTCGTGACTTCTGAGACTAGTTTGACGTCATGTGGAGTATCACTTAATTTTTTTATTGTTTTTTAATAATAAATTGATGTCGTTATTAGTTACAACTTAAAATGTCAAATTAAAAATCACCACAAATTAGTAATTTAAATAGTAATCAGGTTGTTTTCCTTTCTTCCACATGTATTACCCTCTTTTAATATTCCCTTTCTTCATTTGTTTTGTACCTTTGATTTTTTATTGTTATACATTTGTATTGTCATACTTCAAACTTTTTTCTATTTGAGCCAAGAGTTTATCGAAAATATATTATCTACCTCATCAAAAAAAATTAAAAAATCAATGTATATTCTATTCTCTCAAAATTCGATCACATGATTCATTAGTCATGACTGGATTATATTGTTGTTGTGTTCAGAGGCGTATTCAGGATTTTGGCTAGATGGGTGCACGATTACGAAAAAATGTATCTTAAATATAAATTTGATCGATTTGACTTTTTGATTTTTAATATGAACCATTAAATTTTAAAATTTATAGGTCCAAAATATATAATACTACTAGTTTTAAATTTTAATATACACATTTGATTTAATTATATAAAAAATTTACAGTGCTAAATTTTTTAGGAATTTGCAATGTAACAAACTTGAAAATTTTGAAAGATTAAAGGGGAAAAAAAGCAAAATTAGTTGAAACGTCAAAAGTGTAACTGAGAACCTCTTGAAGAGGTGTTACTCAAAAAGACAACATAGATATAAAATTTAAATTTCTATCCTCACTTAGATAGGTGCACCCAATCATCATCATTGTATTATTATATGATACTTTGAACATGGATTCACAAATCTATATTTAAATATATTTTTTTAAATATGACACTACTATATATGATCTAGAGAGGGGAGCATGGGTTCACGGCACCCCCTCTAGATACGCCTCTGCTTGTGTTGTGAAGTATGTGTGTCCTTAACTTGTGACTTCTTAGACTAGTTACATTTGATGTCATGTAGAGTATCATTTAATTATATTTTCTGGTCAGAAATCCAATAACTATGATGTAATATTTTTTTCCCTGAATTTTCTTCTTTATAATGTGAAAATAAATCATCTTCATGAATCATGATGTACTCATAGAATTCCAATATTGGAGACAAACGATTGTCAACAGGCGCCAAGATTATTCGTTTTCAATAGTTTATGCTTATACAAATTTATCATAATTCATGTAACACTATTTTATTATTAGTCGTTTACTTTATATAATATTTTAAAAAAAAATTGATTTTTTTAATATCCAGTCAAATAATCTCAAGTAAATTCTAAAAATGAATTCACTTTCGAGTGCATAATGACTCAGTGGCACCTATCTTGATTAGGAAACTTTTTACTTTTCCCCCTTGGGCATGAAATAGTACTAGTATGACGAAAACAGATCAAATATTGGTGCAAAGCACTATTTATGTTTTTTATAATATAAGTGAAGTATTTTATTAATAGTAATAAATTGAGAGAGGCAATGTACAGGTCATGCATTAAATATAGTTATTAGAAAATAAATGTATCTCTGAGCCCCCTATGTTCGTTAGTAAGTACTCTTAATTAATATAAACAAAACTTTAATTAATTTTGAACTCATATAATTCATTGTATGTTCTTGAGACTTTTTTAATACTCTTACAATATTTCCTTTTAAAATAGAACAAAATTTACTATTTAATTATGTGTTTGTGTTATGAAATTCAGTAAATATCTATAATATTACATTTAAAACTCAGTTATTATTACTTTAAAAAAAATATAAAGTTAAAATTCTAACTCTATGTCGATATTTTCAATTCTATAAGTTAGTGTAGATTTTTTTCCATATAAACCTAATAAAATCTTCATTTTCCTCCAATAGAGGACAACAATATATTCCTAATATAAATGAGTTTCCTATTTTTATATAGCAAAAAAAAAACCAACGATATATTCTCAAATTATTTTGTACAGTTTAGTTTGACGTAAGACTGGTACATTCGATAATTGTGGGTGGTTGATAACGCCATGGCCCATGAGGAGGCTGTGTTTGATGACTCAAGAAACAATAGCGCTATTAAAAGAATGGGGAATTCAAATAGGCATTTGAATATGTGATTTGAAAGTATGAGTTTAAATTAGCTATTGAACACTTGAGTTGAGGGTCTTTCGAAAATAGTTTATTTGCTTTCACAAAATGGTGACAATGATTGTGTACATTCTATCCTCCCCATACCTTATTTAGTGGGATTTCACAAATATGTTATTTGAGATCATATATTGAAAAAAACTAGTTACTACTACAATTGTTAACTAATAAATCTTTATATACAAAATTATGTGTATTTAAAAGTTTGTAACGATAAATATTTATTTATAAAAGGAACGTGAAGATATATGATTTATCAATACATCGTCTTAGGATATTTCGATGTCTTATTTATGAATTATGAATTGCTTATTTGGTAAGATTATATAAATTTTAAAAAAAAACTATGATAATTCTCATAATTTTTGAGATTTTCATGTTTATGATTAAAAAATAAAATATAACTTATGAAATTTAAATTGCATATCTAGTCAAAAAAATTAATTTCAAATTAATCTGATTTCAAATCATATCCAAATTAAATGAGACCAAGTTACCATATATTATAACAAGTGCAAACAATGTAATTTTCTCAAGTAATTTAACAAGAAAAATATAAATCCGGGGGGAATTTTTTTTAATTAATAAACACATTTGATTTTTAAAAAATCATCATACAGAATCTGAACTTCCTCTCTGACCCATGCATGATACATGAGAGTACAACCAAAGAGGAATATAAGATATTTTATTATAATAATTATTTCATGCAATTTCCTCTTTGACTAATACATTCTGAATTACTGCGCGGGTGTGTTTGGAATGGAAAATGTTTTCCATACTGGGACGGTGAATGAAAAAAAATCAAATAAATAAATATATATTAATACTAATATCAACAAATTACATAGTATTTTGATGAAACTTTGGATAAAAGAGAAGGTAGAGATTCACAATAACATATATATAGATTATTATAGTTGAATTGAGTGATAAAAAAATAAAAGTTAAAATATGTGCAAGGAAAATGAGATATATGTCATTTTGCGAAATTTTATGAAATCGATTTCTTTTTTTCCCCTAGAAAATGATTTCCGTCGTTTCAACTTTCAAGTATCATTAAATTACTTTTAGTTTTTTGGAAAATATTCTCCTAGCAAACACACCTATTAAAAATAATTGACATAATGAGTTTTCCATTTTACCCCTATTAATTATGAATTGGATGAATTAAAAATTTAAGATTTTCAAAAAGTTCTACTTTTTTCAAAGTAATTAATTGAGGGTATAATAAGTAAAAAAAATTGACCTAGAGGGAGTAATATATTTTTGTTATTGTTTGCGACTTTGCACTTTATTAATGGTTTTTATATGTTTCCAAATTTTATACGTGTTTAAATACTTAAGGATGATTAAATTTAAATGGTTTCATCACTAAAAAATATGAAGTTTATCAGCAATCTCCAGTTAATTTGGTGCTAAAAAGTTTCTAGTTAATTGATTTTTTGTATAATCTTATCCTTAATCCGTAACAAAATGAATTTAACAAAAAAATTGATGTTTAAAAATATTTGATGTTTCATCATATTGAAAAGGGGACTAATTTAAATACGT